AGTTCAGCATTTTGAAATTTTCACTTTGCCTCTGGCCTCTTCCACATTTTTCCATGCTGTTGAGTTCCTAAATAATGGCTTTTTTTAGGAACAGAAGAGGCTAAGGTGCTGGGCCAGAGACCAGGAGACAGCGTGTTCTAGTCCTTCCTCAGGCACAAAAGCGGGCTGGGTGACTTTGGGCCACTCTCTCTCTCTCTCTCTCTCTCTCAGCCCAACTCACCTCACAGGGTTGTTGTTGTGGGGAAACTAGGAGGTGAGATCATTAGGGATCTACTCTGCTTTGAGTTGACCAATACAAACCCGATAATAAAGAAATCATCTTTCAAGGCAGCCACGAAATGGTGAGCTAATCTATCAATCTGAAACTATTTTATCCAATCCAGAACTTCAATTTTACGGAGTCTAAACTGCAGAATTCATGATCTAACATGGGGGATTTTCTGTTTCTTCTCCAGCACTCATCCTTTTGCATTACCTATCTAATAAAATGTTCTGGAGCGCTCCGGAGGTGGATCGTTCTTTCACTGTGATGGGCCAAGGAAAGAAAACAAAGCCTTGTTTTCATGGACCATCATAGGTCTCCCCGACTTTTTTCATCATACCTGTAATATTGAATGGTCTCGGACACTTATTTTGCATTTTCTTCTTTAAGATATTCAAGGCAGCTTCCACATAATTTGCAGCTCGGATTGCAGTCCTGGTTCCTGCCACTGGTGCTTTTAAATATTTCAGAAAGTCAGAGGGGCTGAGATGAGCCCCGTTCAAACTTTCCTTTATTCTGGAAAAAGAAGTACAGAGTGGATGACAGCAGTGGCAATAGAAAATGCTCAGAATTGTCATAAGAAATACAGCTAAAGGTGTGTTTGCACAATGCTGGTTTAAAAATACCAGCAGGGAAATCTCACCATAAAGGGAGAAATTATGGACCATCAGAGGTATTACAATTCTTTCATGCTCTTATAAATGCTTTTGTTATTTCTACTCTTTCTAGGTAGAAAATCAGCTATAGTAAGACAGAGGTCTTCTTCAGCATAACCATTTTACTATCTCACCAAAGTACCCCATTTAGCCAGAATGTATTAATTAATGTATGCAGCCTGAGTCCTTATTTTTCCATGCCACAACAGAATCTGTGTGGGTTTTTTTTCTTCTGTAACAAACCTCTCCTATCTTTAGCATCACTCAAACATCTGGATGTTTCCTTAGACTTAACCCTTTGGGGAACGTGGTCCTTCTACGATATCACATCCAAGAAGCTTGTGTGCTCAGACCCTTCTGTGATTGTACTTTGCTGGACACCCAAACTCTTTCAGAGCAAATTGATTAACTCATTAGCTTTTAAAGGGCTCGTGGTTACAGCAGACCATGAATGGATGAATGAATGAGTATATTTAGTAAACAGGTAGGGGTTTGAGAGTTACTAGACTGAGATGGGCAGTCATATAAATTCAAAAAGGAAAAGGAAAGAAAATCTGCAGCGCATGTCACTCTGCACTGGGAGTTTGGCATCCACCATTTCTCTTCCCTCTTTTGGAGCATTCATTGCTTGATTCTCAAAGTACCCTTAACCAGGACTGTTGAAAGACTTCGGGGCTGCCTTAGCACAACATACAAACTTAGGTTACTTTGTTGTGGCTCAGCTCGTTGAATTAGTTTATGATCATTCTATATATTGTACTAATTGCAGAGCCAGTTTAAATGTGTTGTGTGAATGCAGCCATCATGTGAAAACTTATCATTGTCATCTCAGCCTTCAGACATCAAGTTGTTTGTTATTTTTGCTATTATTTAATTTGTTGTAAGGCAGGGATGTATGATTTTTTTTTTCAAGCCAAAAGCTGTCCTTAATCTCTGGATGGTGTGGTGGGAGAGATACATTCTCCCAAATTAAGACAGGACCAAAATGTGGCTAGAACCAGGACAAAAACTAAATTTAATTTCATTCACATTTAATTTAATACAAGTGTGTGTCCGCGCGTGTGTATATAAAACATTGCTATTTGGTATTTGGGTTAAATTTTGTTTCCCCCTCTGTTTTCTAGGCATATTTCTAAACTTTCATCATGAAAAATTGCAACTTAGGATCTGTGATTAAAAAAAACTGTCTATAAACATACGGAAGGAAGTTGCCTACAATTTTACACAAAAGAAACTCACCTTTCCCGGGATAATGTATATGCCTTATCCACCTTCTGCTTGGCCTCATTGATGCTGCTGAAAAACTCACTACCAGTCAGCTCTTGAGAGGAAACCACTGTTAAAATTGGAAGAATAAAAGAATGTTAGAAGAAAAACAAGGCTAAATTCTGGCTTCTGTTTTTTTCCTTAACTAGGAGCAGGAGAGATGAAAAGGAGGGCTACCTACATCTTCATAGGTAGCTGTAACCACTTTAAGAAAGCAGAGCTGGCATCTACTGTTTTCCTCTTCCCTGTCCATCTTTATTCCTTGCCTATTGTATCATTTACATTGTTAAGCATGGAGACAAATACTGCCTCCCTGCTGATATTTTACTCTAAAAATCTTCTTGGCTGAGAAGTACAATAAGAAATTGAATAACAAGCAAGCAACACAGAAGATCTAGCAAACAATCATATTGTTACCAACAATGGCTATCAGGATTCCGTAGCCAGGATTCGGGAATGAAGAAAGACTCAGCTATTTAATGACATTCTGCCCTAAATCAGAGGTGTCCATATGTGCATGTGGGTCAAAAAAAAAGTCAAGACAATGGCATGACTGCACCATTGAAGTCATATTACCATCTTGCCTTTTTTGACCCTGCCCTAAATACTGTATGGAGTTTCTCTTGAGTTAGCAGGTCTAATGGTTATTAATGACACAAACTTTCCTCTTCCATAAATTTCTCTCCTTACTTTTTAACATCTGTAAGCGTCCTCTCTCTCTCTCTTTTTTTTTTTACTAGCTCAACTTAATGACAAATATTCTTGTTAAATTATTTGTGGCACACTAGAAAGCTGAAAGGAACAGGCATGATTCTAGTTTATTTAAAAAGAACCTTCTTGGGACTTTTGATAATATTCTTAATTAGCCATAGACAACTATGGTTTGACCATAGTTGCTTCTTGCTTCTATTGACTCTTTCCCCAATCACTGAAATCATCCCTAGATTTCCTCCAGGATGACAAAACCCAACAGATTTCACACTTTGAGGCTATCACTGAATGCTGCTGCCTTAAGGGAGCAAATATTACTTTAACAGCAGTAGATTAAGCCTGCCTCACTCATGGCAAATGAGGGACGAAATGAAGGCAAGTTCATGAAATGAAGAAGGTCTTTTAATTGTGAGTTCTAGTCCTATGCCAAGTCTTAGCCTCCAAGGCTAAGAGAGATGCCATCTCAATCCTCTCCAAACCCTCCACCCAAGCTTTGTGTAAAACAGGGCATCTCCCCTCTTCCTTCCTTCCTCCACATCCTGGAATATCAGTTTGTCTACCAGAAAATCAAAGGTAATTCTCAGAAATTAGTTCCATGCCTAGGGTTACCAGATCTCTGGCAAAAGGAGGACATGACCTCCTTTCTGTCCTCCTTTCCTCCATCCTGCAGGCAGAGCCTTAAAATCAAATATTGCCCAGCTTTTAGAGTATCTACAAGCTATCTCTTCCTGAGCAGCTTTTCTCAGAGGCAGAGCACTTCCCTAAAAAGTGATAGCTACAAGTTAACAAGCTCAGCTTTGTGACTTTAATTAGTTGATTAAAACCCTCAGAGCTCCCAGCTGCTGCCTGAAATTGCCAAGACCTTAATCAGTTATTCGCTGAAGGCTTTTGCCTCCTAAGGGGCTCTACCACATTACTGCCACTGGGGGGGAAAAAACAGCCTTTCTGATGCTGGAAAAAGTAATGTCATATACATGTAGGATTGAGTACTTTTTTCTTTTTTCTTTTTCTGCAGTTTTTCACTAATATTTGTCATGAATGCCAAGAAAGTTAATCAGTTAGCATGTCCTCCTTTTCCCCCATTTGTCCTCCTTTACAATTGTCCATGTCCTCCTTTGCGTGTTCAGATATCTGTTAACCCTATCCATGCCCTATAAATATATATATTTTAAATCCCTTGTTCCTTTCCTGAATCCCACCATTTAGCACAAGCTCATAAGCTGTGCCCTGATGGACCAGACCTCTGGCCCATCTAGTCCAGCAGTCTGTTCTCACAGCCAATTGCGCAAGGAAGCCCACTAGTCTCCCAACAGGTGGCCATCAAGGCTAATAGCCAAGATTAATCAAGGCTAATAACCCTTGATCTCCATTTCTGTCTTGTTTATAAATACCCCAAGAGGCTGTTAAAAACTGCATCTCTCCCTCCCAGGAAGTATTATGCTCATGAAAGAGTAGCATGAAGCAAAACAAGATTTATGGTTTTACCTTTCAGGTAAGATTCAGGTGCCATCAAGAGGCTGAATGTTATCAAAAGGTTGAGCAAAGCAACTATTCTCCCCATCTCTGAAAAGGAAGAAAAGAGAGAAGATACAAATTATTCCATTTAGAAAAATAATTTTTAGAACCCTGCAAAAGTAGGTTGCTAAAAGTAAACACAGACTTGGCACATTCTTTAATTTGTCTGCGATTCTCAGAGAAAAAGAAATCTAATTTGTGTTTCTAAGGCTTCACTTTTCTGAGTGAGGTTATTAGCACCTGGGGTAACCTCTATAGGACCTGAACTTCTTAAAGCAAAGGAGGTACTAAATTTCACCCTGACTTCACAGTGTAACATTTAGTTCACAGTGTGTCAGTTTTGCATCAAAGTAGTTTCCAAGACTTATTTCTAACTCTGTTTCCGGATATTCTTGGACATAATTTCTACATCTCATGCCTGGAGAGAAATTCAATATTTGCTATTAAGGTGTGAATACCATAAACCTATCCCAAGACACAGAATATGACCTGACTAATAGCACTCTATGAAAAAGGAAGCAATCGGACATCTGAACTAAACCTTCAAGAAGCATTCCTGATCTTAGGATCTCCATTTTTTTTACATAAGAAATAAGCTCCATGGCAGAGCAACATTTTTTTTAAAAGTCCCAGGTTCAATTACTAACAACTGCAGTTCAAAGTTTCCCAACTAGCAGGACTGGGAAATCTATCTGGTGACCTTTGAGTGTCAGTAGATGGTCCTCAAAGGGATCAGTGGTCTTTCTGATCTCTGATCAGCAGACTTTCTCAAGCAAGGGTCTTCCAGATGTGTAGACCAGAATTTCCAGCAAGGTCCATGCTGGTTGAGATTTCTGAAACTTGAAGATGCTTGCATATCTGGAGTTCACCCAGATTATGGGAAACCATTGTGAAAAATTGAGGATATGCTTTGAAAATGAAAGACCCTAGATTCCTTAACCTGGATCACAGACAGCAAGGCTGAGATGAGAGGCAGGAGAAGGGATTCTTCCTTCTTGAAGATTTGAGAGGTGTTACCGGTCAAAGCAGGCAGTATGGAGATAGGGAGGTCAAAAATCTGAGTATAAAGATTATACTTATAAAAATCTGAGTATAAAGATATCAGGTAGAGCTAGGGAAAGCCAGGAGCTCATCAGGGAAAGATGCCGGATATAGGCACCACTACAGGATGCAGGTTTGCCCTGACCATCCTGCCTCAGGATTTCAGAATCCTTCCAATTGCCAGTGAAAACAAATCCCAGTCCAAACCTTAGCAGACCGTTTAAATAGATTGTTCTGGACTAGATGTGAGAGCCAATGTAGTGAAATAAATTAATAGAACAAAAGAGTCCTTGAAGAGATATTGCTGTTCTAACACTGATCATTTTGGACTAAATGAACCAAATATATTTTAGTTTCCTAAACCCATAAAGAACCCAGGATGGTATTGAGAAGCAGATGAAAAACCAGCTAGAAAGAGAAAGGGGAGATCAGCTTCTCACTGGCAAATCCACTATATCCCCCATTAGCCACAAGATAAGCATTACAGATGGCCACCCTCACCTGCTGCAGCCTTCTCCAAATCCTACTGCTCTACCCTCTTCTGCTGGATGATCTTTTATACTCCTCTAATCAACAGGTGTGGACAGATCCTTCACGTGAATAAGATGGGACTTTAAAAAAAAAACAAAATAACAACCTTTGTTTGGTCTGGGCTAAGAGGAAGTATTTACTGGGCTTTTCCTGGATGAAACAGAGAAAGCCCACTTCCTTGTTCCTGAAATTGAAAGATAACAATTCAGTTTGGAGAAGGAAAGTTCTGCCATTAGGCGATACTGTGCCTGCCACTGATTTTGGACTACAGCTCCCATCATTCCCTGCAAACCAATGTCCGTGCAGTATAGGAGGAGTTTTAGCCTAACGTCTCAGGAAAGCAAAATATTGGCAATTTCTGGAGAATCAAAAAGGACTGAAGGAACTTTGAAATATTCAAGAAAGCGACAGTGATGTCAGAAAATATGCCATTAAAAAAAAAAAACCTCTGCCTCCTTTAACAGTAAGTGAGGCAGAGGAATCTCTTACTTTTACAGAGCCATTTTGTTGCAGCGTTTAAAGGAGCTGGACTAGAAACCAGGAGATGGAGAGTTCTAGTCCCGCCTGAGGCACCAAGCCAGCTGGGTGACCTCGGGCCAGTCCCTCTCTCTCAGCCCTAAGAAGAAAGTAACAGCAAACCATTTCCAAAAATGCTGCCAAGAAAACTGCATGGATCTTTCCATGGAGCCACCATAAGCCAAGATTGACTCAAAAGACCATAACAATATGGAAGCTACGTTCACATTGGTTTGTTTTTGAGGCATTTGATAGAAGTATCTCCTGGAAGAAATCCTGCATGGTTTTAGGGTTTGCCTGCCAATCTACAGATAGTCCCACTTTCTAGTCCAGCACCTTAACCACTACACCAAACTGTCTCTCTCTGTGTCTGAATATGTCTCTCTGTTTTTCTCAACAAGCAAAATGTCTGCCTCTTTACTGGCTCAGAAACGAAAGCCATCTAGTTCACTATGACCACCACCATCATCCCATTCCGTTTCCTTTTCCTTCCATTTTGCTGGGCATCTACGCCATACTATGGAAAAGGATGAGATGTGCTTTTGGGAGAGTTTTATGTGTAGCCACCAAAAACAGAGATGAGGAGTCTGGATTTCTGGCATTCCAAATGCTACCTGAAGAGCTGAAATGGTTGCTGGGTTTGCGTGCATCTGCTGTTACTGTTTAGGGCAGTGTTGTCCAAACTTGGCCACTTTAAGATGAGTGGACTTCAACTCCCAG